TTATATTTATCTTATCCCAAAATTTTTTAATAATATTTGAAAATTTTCTGCCGATTATAAAAGGATCGGCAATTAATGTGTTCGTGTTTGTCGATCAAATCAATGATTATCTTTTATTGCTTTTTTTAAAAAAATGTTTTCGGGAAACAAAAAGAGAAAAGCAGAAAAAGAAATAGCCAATATTGCTGGATAAATGTTTATCATAAGGATGGTAGTGGTTATCGCCACTCGTCACCACTCTAGTTATTAATAAAAGTTGTTTTTTTACTTAGTGCTATAGATTCTAAATCAAGTAGGTAAGGAAAAAGAAAAAGCCAAAAATGAAGAATCATCATCTATTACATACAATTTAAGAAATAGAAATCTGGTGTTTGATTCAATTAAACTTTTTCCTAATAAATAAATATATACATACATATATTCACACAATTATTTTAGTAAAAAGATGAAGGCAGAAAACAACATCAAGCTGAGTTAGCAAAGCAAAAACAAGCCGATGGCTTGGCTTGCTATATTCAACAAGAAGATAGTACTATAAAAAGGTGGTAGAATTAGAACCAATTGAAAGTTATAGACAGAGTATAGATATTCCAAAGGAGGTAGATGAGTTAAAGGTGAATATGATTTTATTATTATTATTATTATCTATCATCTAAACAATTAAATAAACAATATTTTGGTCATATAATTATTTGTCTGATTAGATTTATGTTGACCCACTGCAGAAACAATTATCCTTCCGTTATTTGGTTATGCAGTTCTGATACAACAAAAGATGTTCAGAAGACAATTGAAAATGGTTATAATTGCCTACGGATAAATTTTTTAAGACCAAAAGAAGTTACTAGAGAAGAGTTATTTGATGATTCAACTATGTGGCACATAGGTTCATTAAAATTTAAAAGTATGGATGATGAAATGAGCAAATTACATGATAAGATAAATGCCCTCAAAAAAAGGTATATAAAATAAATAAATAACTTTCTTAACAAATACAAATTTAATTTTATTTAATATTTTTCAGAGTAAAAGCAGAAAGACTATTAGCTGGATTGGTTCTGCAATCTGAACTCAAGATAGATGAATATCTGTATATATATTTAAATATATACAGTGCACGAAAAAAGTTTTGGAATAAAATGTGTTTCAAATAAACACAATTTTCTTTTGAAAGATTTTAACTGAAAATCTATTTGACAATACAAACAATGTCATGGGAAACCATTGGATCTTTCAACAAGATAACTACCCTAAGCATACAGCTAGGAATACTTAAAAACTTCTTGCACAACACTGTCCAAAAAATGTTGGATTGCCATCAAATAGCCCAGATCTCAATTCAATTGAGAATTCGAGGCAAATTTTAAAGGGACGTGTTGAAAAGCAAGCCAATAAAGTGTTAATTAAAAAAAAGCAATTACTGCAGAAAGATTTCGTGAAATAATTCAGAAAGGATTGACTAAAAATTTTTTGTTAATTTAATTCATAGTATGCCCGTCAAGTTTAAATGAAGTGATTAAGAAAAATGGTAATAAGATAAGCTACTAAGTAGTTTTAAATGAACTTATTGATCAAATCATAAAGAGCATAACTATAAATTTTCATGTACTGTTAGCTTTTTTTCATTGCACAATAAATAAAAATTCCTTTCTGAAAACTTTTTTCGTGCACTGTATATTTAAATATATATATGTTTGTGTGTTTTTTAATAGGGAGAAGACCAAGTTACAGTCCGGGTGAATTATATCTAAGGCCAAAATTCGAAGGAAGGAAGGTCATTGGTAGTCTAAAAATCCACCATAATTGCCTTAATTACACTTCTAATGCTTTTCCAGAACTTGGTAATGGTTTAATTAATTCACATTCAATACCAATTATTAATACTGATAAATTTATCATTCAGCTATTATCTTCAATAATATCAAACATATATTTGTGACAATGAAATGGTTGTAAGATTACACTTTCATTTAATTAACCCAATCAAATTTGGGGAAACATCATCATCAATTGTATGTTTTTTACTTAAAAATAATAGTTTTGTTTGTTTTTTTTTATTTTTGTAAAGCTTATAACAAATCATTTTTATTTTAGGATATTCAATTTGCAAAAGAAATTTCAGATGTTAAAAACATCAAAATTGATGAAATGGATGATGATGAGGATGAAGAAGTAAAGAGGTTATGTGAAGAACTGAGGGAGGGGAAGAAGAAGAATTGGTAGAGGAGGAGAAATGGAAAGGGTTGATAAATAAGTGGTTTAGAGACTTTGCTAAAAACATTTCAATAAGGGTGAGTATTATTTATTTATGAGAATTGAATGAAATATATAAATTCATTCTCATTTTTATCCTTTTTTTTAGAGTGGCATTACTATTGATACCTTTAGAGATATTGAATTCTCTGGAATCCATTTAAAAACCAAGTATTATTGAACTAACTACTAATTGTCTTGTTCATTTAGTTGATTTATCTTTCTTTAATTATAACAATGGCTTGTGTAGAGGTAGTGAATTTAGAAAGAACACAATATAGTTTAGATAATTTTGACATGGTATTGGTTTTCAAAGATTATTTACAACCACCAAAACATATTAATAGCATTTCAATGAATCAATTAGAAGACATAAAGGAATGGCTATATTCAATGAATATTTTATATTATGAAGGAACACCAGATTTAAGTTGGACACAAATAATGAGAAATATTAATCAAGATGCAATAGGATTTTATAAAAATGGTGGTGGGTCATTTTTAGATATGGATGAAAAGGATGATGATTCGGAAACACAATCAGATTCAGTAAGTGAATTTGAGTCAACTGAGAATGAGGAGAATTATAATGAAGTAAGTTCCATTATCATCATTATAGATAATGTTGGAATTCGTTTTATTATTTTGTTAATAAAATCAATAATAATTTACAGAGTAGCAGTGATTATGAAGAAGAGGAGGAAGCTGTTAGTATGAAATCAACAGGTTCAGGAGAAGCAAGTGGATGAATCAACATTAGACTGGGAGAAAAGATTTGTAAAGGTTTGTATTGTATATACTTTAATGATTTATTTTTAAAAAAATAATGATAGTTTAACAACATTGTTTATTACTAGTTGATAAGAAAAGACAAGAAATTAAGCATAAAAATTCTAATGATGTTCATGGTAGTAGTAGTACAAACACAAATAAGAAACCTCGTCAAAGTTGATTGATGAAAATGATTTCAATTAATTAATAATTTTTAGTTTTTTAAATTTGCTATAAATACATATAAATGATTTTTTCATAATCTTTAGAGTATTATTGGTCTGATTTGGTAAGTGAATTGAAATGATTGGTAAACTACTATGGTTTTGTCCTTTTCCATTGTTCTCTATTCAGACAGGTTTCCTAACTTTCTACAAATTGCCTGATACTGTAAATTACATATCACAGGATTTATAAATAAAATTGGATATGATCCCTGAAATCCATTATTATAGTATACAAATGTTCACTTTGGTTTTGTTGCAGTATGCCCCACATTATATGGGGCATACTGCAACAAAACCAGACAAAGTGGACATTGGTATTACCAAAGATTTCAGGGATCAAAATTTAGTAATGTGATTATTAAAATCTTCCATTTGTTATCCTCTTGATATATAGAATTACCTCTATATAAAAATAGTTAATATGAAGCTAATTTACATCAGATCTACTATGGAACCAAAGAATTATAACACCATTATAAGTATTTTGAAGAAGGAACAAGGTGAAAAAATTGCTCCTTATATTTTCAAAATAAATGGTACTCAGACACTGGAAGCTTACCTAAGAAAAAGAATAGTTTGTAAATTTTGAGCTCAAAGATCTACATGTTGAAAATTCAATAATGATGCACCCTCCTATAAATTTTATTTTATTTTATTTTTTAAGAATATATAAACATCATTATTAAAAATAATTAACTGTTAAACATTCCAGAAAGAATTACTAATAAAAAATTTTTTAAGTATACACAAATGTTAAATTGTTATTGAATACAAATAATAATGGTGGTGATAATTCATAATTCACATTTGTTACTCTATATAAAAATTATTTTCAAGTTCAAAAATATTAAATCACACCTCTTTCATTTCTTTTACTTTTACCATTAAATTTTTATTTGAATTATTTATATAAGATAGTTTGACATCCATTAACTCAATAAATTTAAAATTGAGCACCATAATATATTTTTATTTCTCTTTTCATTTCTCTCCATGTTGAAGCAATATCTTCATGTGAATGGTGTAATTTTTTTGTTCTTCTTAGATATCTACAATTTAAATTTTTTCTAAACATAAATCTAATAAAACTGTGTATTCACATGAAGCCCATGGTCCCTGTAATTCCTCAACTATTACTAAATCATCATCTAATAACACTGAATCTCTTTCATCTTCATCTTCTAATGGTGTAGCAGGTGTAGTAGTAGATATTAACATAGTAGGTATAACAGGTGTATTAGTAGATATTAGTGTAATAGGCATAGCAGTAGATATTAGTGTAGTAGGTATAGCAGTAAATGTAGCAGGTGTAGCAGTAGGTGTAGCAGGTGTATTAGTAGATATTAGTGTAGTAGGTGTAGTTGGTGAGTTGGAAGTGATTGTAATTGGAATTTTGTGATTGTTATTATTCTCAACGTCATTCAGTAAAAAAATTTAGATTATGATATGATTGCAATGGGTCTGGGACACTTTACCAACACCCACTTTACTGACAGGACACTTTACCAACACCCACTTTACCAACAAGACACTTTACCAACAATCTAAGTAAAGTCAAACTTGATGTAGAAATGGTCTTGCAAGGAACACCACAACCCCCACAGAAACCACAAGATTGTAATCGTGAAATACAGATTCAAACAGTATTAAATGACCATAACATTAGATCAACTATAAAGTTTCTTTGAGGCATTGCCCATAATATTTCATTTTAAAATTTTTTTTTTGTTATTTTTAAAAAAAATTTTTTTTTGTGTAAATTATTGAAAATTGAAAGCAAAAAACTAAAGAGGCAAGATTAGATGCCAAAACTCACCTTGAAGCCTTAGAAGTAGCCAAAGAATGAAGAGAAAGACAATTAGCTGAGAAATTAGAGCAATTAGAAGCAGTTAAGAATCAGGAGATAAGTTGGCAAGCCCAAGCAATCCAGCAACTAAAACAAGAACTACATTTAGCCAACAAA